GTCATCTTCTCCTCATAAGCGAAGGTTTAGCGCTGAAGACCCGATTATTGCCGCAAATAACCTTACTATTGCCACATCTGAAAGCATGTTGCACACTTCGTTTAACATGTGGAGCCGATCTGGTTGAGGGCCCACCCCCAATGACTGTTCAGTTGTCGCTAGAGTCTAGAATTTTAGCTGTAAGTGCACTACCATAGTCATCTTATTTATCTTCGGATGCGGGATGACCCCATCTTATGAGTACCGTCCCGAGGGGGGGGGGGGGTTGGATGGGGAAGCGTTCGTTCACACCCGCGGGCTCGTCTCAACCTCAGTCCCGGATGAGTCGACCGCACGATGTGACCCTCTGGCCATGCGGCTAATCACACACCAAAAGCAAAGGGGACCAGACAACAAGGTCGCCCGATGGGCACATCATCTACCCTGGCCTCCCTCATTGGAGCGACTTCACGCCCCCTGTGTTTACCGCGGAGGGCATGCGCCGAGTGCTACCAGCCTCGGATTCATCTAGCTTGCGCAGCCCTAGGCCCTTTTCGTTCCCCCTCTCTCTCTCTCAACCAAAGGGGGAGGGCGCGCATCGTGAGATGCTCATCTCGCATGTTGAACAGGGAAAAATAGAAACAAAGGTCGGCATGTCCTTGTGACCATGATCACTTCCCGAAGATCCCGCCACGTCCCTGCTGGTCTAGCCTGAACCAGATGTATCTTGCTCGCGAGTGCCCCTGGACGGCGAGCTTTCCCCATACACACGCACTTACACACATCTTTGTGAGCACCAGCCAGTGCAGCTAGGAGCCCTTCTGGAACAGCCCCCTCGGCCGTCGACTGATATCAATCATGAGATACGCGAGTCTTCCGCCCTTGGGAAGAGGAGCAGATTTTCTCCCCGCATTTTGCAAGGGTTCGTTCCGTCCAACCCCCGTCGCACATCGCAGCGGGACGAGCTGCCTTCCCCCGCACAGCACTACTACTGGGCCATCAGGAACTAGCTGCCGTGCTGCTGTCGTCCTGGTACCTTGCTTGAGGGCGAGACGTTGTTCTCCATGTGTGTTGATCGCTCTAGACCGATTGGGTGTCGGCAGACTTCACCAGTGGTTTCTTTTACCTAGTTGTTGTTGATCCCTCCATGAACTTCGTATCTAGCGACATGGAGCGAAAATAACATTCTGAACCTCGAACGCCGTCAAATCTTTTCGACAAGCGAAGCGGCTCTGAATGCCAATGCTCTGGGCCAGCTTGGCTTCAAAGTTAGATTATTGATTGATCGACACTCGCAATCAAAGTCTACCAGACTGATGAAACTCAAGAAACCAAGAATGCCAAGAAGTCATTGCAGAGTCGAAGGGAGCCCTTGGTCCAATCTGGAGGCGGAACTACTCCCCCATAACAGTGCCATTAAGAGCAGGGTGCCCGACACACCACTATCGGGAGCTTGGTCACATTACTCTCTGTGCTACACTCTGTGCGGTATTGCGGGAAGCCAGTCTGTATGTTCATCACGGTACAATGTGACTGTGCGATGACCCATGCGCGGCATCCCGTCCTTGGCTGGTAAAGGGTCTCAGACAGGGTGAGCCCACCACCGGACTTTAACGTGCCCACATCGCAGCTTGCCAAGGGCTCTTCCGATTTACCCGTGATAGCCCAAGAAAACTAGGCTCTCTGGGCAAACGAGGGTCGAGAAGCTTGAGTTGGTCTGCAGTCAATGGCAGAGGCCAGAGTCCGAGCCGAACACGGGGTGAAATTGGCAAAGAAAAAAAGACCCGAAGACGACAAACTCGGCCGGAAAGCGCGTACTACTCTATCGGATCAATTTCCCTAGCTGAGTCTTGCAACACGTCCGGGTGTACATGGGAGTAGGTAATCCTGCTCGGTGTCCAGCCGACCTGAAGCTGGGACACTTTCGCCTCTGGAGCTTGGGTTTCCGAGAGACCGCAAGCAAGACAAGATCAGACGGATCGTCCCACGATGAGCAGCAGTGTGGCCGCGAGCAGCGGGCATCGGATATCGAGCATCGCTGTTTTCCAACTGTAAATGACGGAAACAGTGGACCCGGTCTTGTGGATCCCAGTGACCGTCCTTACGTTGCTCTCTGGTGAATTCAGATGACTGCATCTTAGGATTACACCTACGCCACTCGCGGTTGACAGTTCCGGGCGTTGGACTAAGGCCTCGGGGGGGGATAAGCCAGCCCACGGGGTTCATTGGGCGGTGATGCTGTTAATCATATGTCGCTCGTCAATGCGGAGAAGTTCCCGTGAGCTCAATTGATAGCCATCCCCCTGGGGCGAGCCGAGTAGCTGTCGGCAACGAGGGAAGGAAAGCCGTGACAGCCTGAAGAAGCGTCGTTGCGTCCATACAGCATATTGGGGGGCTGCATGCGTCTGCCAGAATTGCCCTGCATCTCGGGACCGCGTTCCTGGACTCATATCGTCCCCATATCGGGCAGGCACACACGGCAATAGCACCTTCGCCATTCGAATCCTGAGACGTAAAGCCTCAACCTCAGGTGGCGGTAACCGGCCGCAGCACGAGTCAACATCGGGGCGAAAAAGCCTCGGAAAGGAGCGGGATGCGACAGAGGGTGTCTGCAGGGCGACGTGATAGTGTGGGCAGTAATATCGTCCTGCGTCCTCTTACTGGAAGATGACGGAAGGGGGACGGTCGACGCCCGAAGCAAGGACGCGTCGTGCGGGAGAGAAATTGAACGCTTATGGTGGGGAAAATGCGAATTGGTCCAACTGGTAGGGCGGAAACCGAACCACCGCGTAGATCGGTGCGAGAATGACGGTACCTTGGAGACGAACCGCTGGGTATCGAACGCCTCAGGCGTAGCTCAGAAGTGCGGATTGAAGCAAAACGGGTAGACGAGATGGCCCCAGCTAACGTCAGCTGGGACGCTGTCGGCTGAAATTCGCAGACATCCAGGTCCATCATACGATCTTCGCCGTGGTCCATGCTATCTCTTCTGCATCCGGTTGCCTCCTCCTTATCTCCATTGCCCCATTGTACGCCGGAGGGTATACGTGCGGACACAAAAGGAAGGGTGGCAAGCGCTGGTCCAACCTGGCTGGCTGACCGTCATTTCCCCAACTGGCCTCGATCATGCAGCTTTCGAGGGACGTAACCGTAGGCTTGACTCTTACGCGTGTTCTCGCCCCAAGTCTTTCAGTATGGACACAGAAGCGAACGCCCATATGCTCTAACGGCCTACCCGGATCATTCTGACGCATGGGAAAGGCGACGGCGGCAGCCTCTCAGGTGGTGGGAACGAATGGTAAAGTTGCCGGCCCTGGAGACGGGCACCTCTGGTTCCCAACTCATAGTCTAGTCTAGTAGGGTTAATGCCGGGTCGAGAGCATAGGGGGCCGGGAGGGAAAAGAGGGGGGACTCCACGTCGTCCAAATTTAACCGGCGACGTTCCCGTAGAGGAAAAAGCGTTAGGCGTGGGTAAAACGCGGAGGGTCAACGTCGAGGCTCCGTGGTCTTTTTTGTCCCGATTCGGCGTGGTCGGCGTATCTTGCCACGACGTGGTAGTGTAAGCCGTCGATAGCGCCAAAGCTGAAGCAGGCTGTTGGATCTCTTCGGTGTCGTGTGGAAAACGAGAAAAATTGAGCTATTTGATAGATGCCGCCCGTGGAACAAGCCGTGGTCACATGGTCACATGCACCGTGATAAGATGAGGTGAGAAGTTGATGGGTTGTCTAGAAACAGGATGTGGCGTGGGATGAGGTCGAGAGACAGTGCATATGGGTCATCGGGACGGTGTACTACACACAGTACGCTGGAGCGAACCGTGATTGGCTAAGAATTTGCAAGTTGGAAGGAGTTCTCGAACACTTGAAGTACCTATGCACCGTTTCTGTCCCTTACCCATCCATCCTCCAGTCTTACCTAGCTTACACTTTCAAGATAAGAACAGAGACGGGACAAATCCACAACGCGGCTAAAGAGAATGTGTGACAGCAGGGGATATGTGATGGAAGAGACGGCACAACAAGTAGACCTCGGCCTGCGCAAAACACTTCAGAGAGATACCTGCCCTAGAATACGTGTCTGTGTGAATATTGACCTCCTCCACACAGTCTACAATGTCACCGCCTCGAGTGAGGTAGACCTCGACCCTAATTACCCCAAAAGCATCTGGAATATCGCGCAAACCTGCTCTCAGCCGGACTCCTTTGAATCTTTGACTTCCCCCTTTCGGTCCAAGAGCCTGATTATCCCTAAAGTAAACGCCTGTCAGACCCGCCATCTGCGCACCATGTACACACACCAAGAGCCTGGACTCCGAGCTCATCTGATGCACGGGCCACGAGGAACCACTCCCTCCTCTTCGGTCGTCGACCTCCACGAAAGATGAAAAAAACCGCCAGACTGTTTTTGACCTCATGCCGTCCGGATTACAGTGAGGTGCATGTTCTTCGTTTGACGAGGGAGTTTGCCGTCGCGCTCGTAGATCAACCCGCAATTCTGGCACAGCGACTGCTTTGCGTTTAGTAAATGCATCCATCTTGAGGAGAAAAGGTTCGGTAACTCACCCTCGGTCCTGCAGGGCCAGGCCTCACTGCCCAAACACTCGATCCCCACAGAGCACAGTGCCAGCATCTCCAGGACAAGCGCTCCTGGTCCGTCAGTCCGCTTCCCGCGCCGTATCCGGATCCCATGTCCGGGGTTCCGCGTCCGCCGGGGGTACCGGACCGGCCCAGGGGACTCAGACTGCGGAACCGACGTTTCTTCTTGGACCGCTCGCCTCTGCCCATGCGTTCCTCTTCCGGGGCCTCGACGACGTTACCGAATCCAGAGAACGGCACGCCACCGACCAGCCCGGTGGTTGAGCTGAACCGGGCGGTTTCGCGGCGCAGGCGGCGAATCTGTCGCTCTCGGTCTCCCTCGCGCTTCTCCATCTCCTCCTTGCTGAGGATCTCCACCTTTGGCTCCCAGGGATCGGCCAAGTTTTCTGGGTCGTAACGCCATCCGGCATCGGCCCCTGCCGTGGCCTCGTTGGGGAACTCGCGGGCTCCGTTCCAGCCCATCACGAGGCCGCCTGCTTCGCAAGCCTCCTTCTTCAGACGCAGGACCGCTTCATAAATGGCGTGCGTGATAGCGGGGACCCACTCGCCCGTAAGTCCAAGATCCTGGCATGTCTGGCTTGCAAAGGCCTCTGGCATTCCTGGCGGATGCAATAGAGACCATTCAAACTTGTCCGTGTACAGGGTCGACTGCAGGTTGATGTTGAGGGTGATGATACATCGGTAGGCGTCGTCGTGGTCGTACTCATCGGCGTCAACGGGTACGGGGCTTGCATTGGCGGTGACATTTGGCGCTGAGGTGAGGTCCCTTATCCTCGACGGTGTTCCAAAACCGCCGTTTTGCATTGGGGTATCGGAGCGGCTGATGGCTCTGGTGGCGGGGGTGGGAGAATCGTCGTGGTTGAGTACCGAGCTGGCCTTGGTAGCGTCATTGTTGCCGGCGTTCTGTGACTGCGACTGCGCGTGAAACAAAGGGTGCAGGGCAACACCGGCATATTCCTCAAGCTGTGTACGGATCTGTTTGGCGATTTCAAGCATTGTGTTGTGGCGGTTTGGCAGGTCCAGATCCTGAACGTATGTTTGCGCAAACTGCTCAGTGGTGATGACGGTCTCGTGCAAGTTCCAAAGGAACGTGTCGCGAAGCCGGTAGGGCGGCGTCAGCTCTTGCGGCCGGTACTGGGGCAGGGTGGTATCGACAGTGTGAGGCGCCGAAGGAAACGGGACTTGGGGCACAAAAGCCGGGATGTCGAGCTCGATTCGGATGGGAATGAGGGTCAAGGGCAGGTCGGCCTGTGCCGAGTTCTGTTGGTCGCTTCGAACCTGGCGCCCCTTGCCAAACCAGTCTCTCCAGATGCCCTGGACTTCGACGGGCTCGTTCGTGTCCTTCCCTGCTTTGTCTGACAAATCCTGGATGTTGGCGAGCTCTTCCCTCCTCACGCTTCGCAGGCCAGTCGGGCGGCGACGGCTGTTGTCTTCGTCGTCGTCAATGTCGTCGTAGCCATCCTCGGCGTAGTTGATGATGGTCGTTCCGCGCTTCGTTACTCGGGAGATTGGGCCGGTGGGGGCGCTGGCCAAGACTGGTGTGAGGAGAGAGTTGTTGTAGGTTCTGATGCGCGGCGCATATGTGGACAGGAAGGCCTGTGGCTTCGGTCGGGTGTCCATGGTGGGATGTTATGAGACCCAATGGGTCATCGCAGGTTGTCGCAACGCAAGGGTGGAGGAGGGGGACACGTCGAGGAAGACGGAATGGCGCGGTGGAGCTGGTGGTTGTTGCGCATTCGCAAGCACGAATTGGCGCTTCGTATGATGCTGGCGACTACTGCGTTGAGCTGTTGCTATATTGCCGGATGTTGGTTTGCGCGCCGATGGGATTGGCCTTAGTGGTGAGCGCGGAAGGGGAGCGATGCACCGCCGATTGTGAGATGTGGATCGCGTTGGAAATGCATTGGAGGAGCAGCATGGCGCGTCAGAAAAATCCAGTCGGCGTTTCCCGGCACCCTTGTGCCTTGCGCCAGGACCATCTCCATAAAGGGACTAGCGCTCTATACGGTCCCACTATTTCATCCTACACCGAGCTCACCGACAACTGCAAACATTCTTCAGTGTGAATACCATATGCTCTGTTATAGCATTTCTCAAATTATTTGGAAACACAAAGCCTTTGACCAGGGAGATATGGCCTTATCAATGCTGAAAAGTATCGGTTTTCATCATCCACTTACTCACTTTTGGCCCAAGCGATCACTTTCTGGTGACATTCATGAAACAACAAGCTAGTGTGACTATCTGCATCGAACTGACCGAACCAATTTGTGTCCTAAACTTCCACTGGCATGATTCTCACATACAGTTGTCATAAACTCATTCCGCTTAGGCTCTAGATGAGTGCGAAACGGGCACGAAGAAAACTGATATGATGCTGATATTCGCTTCACTTCAATGTGTCTCAATCATAATGTATTGAAACAACATTTCTTGGTCATTGCATAATCTATCTCAACAATGTCTTTCTTCTCGTTGCCCTGGGTCTCAGCCTCACTGTATTTCTGGAACTGAATCGTGAAAGCGGAATCTGCGTCAGGCGACAGGCTTTTTTCATGTTATCTCAATTGTCAGGTATATATATGACAATCTATTCAGATGTTCCGGTTTTTTCAAATACAGGATGAGGTGTGTACAAATGTGAATATATAAGCGAAGGTCTCCGGGCACCTGAATACACAGGCGAGTAACTAAAACCACAATCCAACTCATTCCTTCCCAAACCAGAAAAAAACGGCTTCTTCGGTCGATTCGACAACGACCCTCATTTTCACTTGAAAGCACCAAAACTCCAAAAGCTGCACACTCTCACAATGGATGAAGGCGATCACAAGCCTGCTGCCAATCGGAAGATGGAACTTCGCATTCATCTCGAATTTCTCATCCGATACGACTCCGAGATCTCATCCTTACGGTCGACTGTGTCAGCCTTGCCTTCGGGTATAACTGCTGAAAAGACTACCGCAACATCTGAACCCCAAGGTCATCAAGAGTTTCTCATGAATTGGTTTCATCAGATGAGACTGTCCCATCCAAGCGAGGCAGGTAACCATAAGAAACAAGACGAAGACGCTCATGATAAGTCCAACGCCGTCTGGACCACTGAAGTTGACGAGGGGATCATCCAACTTCACGAGTCGAAGTGGCGCCTCGCTCACGTTCGCTCACCTCTCATCCACCTCACCCCGCAGCTCACGTCCACCATCGCCTCCGTCTGTGATGCCATCCAAAACACCCAAGACATCACAATCGGACTGAACCACATTCCCCGCCTTCGAGTTGAGATCAAACCAGAGACCTCGACGTTCACCGTCACCGATGTCCGGCGAACTCTACTCTTCCTCTGGTCCGCCTCTCAACGCATTGATACTCTTCACGCAGGATATTGCGGCCCGAGGTCGCCCGCTGCCCCTGGCCTCGAGTTTTCTCGTCTTTTCCACCCCGTCAGCCTTGTGTACCCCTTCTGCGAAGATCGAAATGGGGTAGCTCTCACAAAGTTCACCCACGGCCCTCCTGATAAGGTCAAGATACTTGACGACATGCATACCGTGGACATCCGCGGGTCTTTGCTCGAGAAAAAGAAAATTCGCGCCGTCGGGGTATCGAATGACTTGGAATGGCTGGCAGAAGGAACGACCGTTCGCTTATGGGACCCGGACCCCCGTCACGATGAGCGCATCGTTACGGGTGCGTACGATTTTTCAGGGCTCCCTGCGCCCCATGAGAAGTTGATCCGTTTCAACCAGCACGCTGGGACGCTGGATCCCGAGGCCATCGACAACTGGGTGCGGGTGTGTTGTGGCATCATCGATTTATGTCTCAATGCAACAAGCGAGCGTCTGGAGTGCATCAAGACGCGACTGAACCTTCCATCCGATCTCGATCCTTCCGTACGAAGTTCTCCATCTCGCTCGTACACCGTCTTCGACCTACTCGTGGACCTTAAGCTTCCATCTCAAGCAGCATACTACAAATCTCTTGGTCCGAACCCCTTCGTCTCTGAATTTGTGTCCCGCCGCCGCTGGACCCCAGCTGTCAACATTGAAGAGACGGAAGGTGTTTCCCCGTACACTTTCGGGATCGAATTGGAATTTCTTGTTCCGTACTCCCTTGTCGGCGCTCGGGACCCTGACCCCGACGACTCCCGCTGGATCTATCGTGACCCTTCATCTGCGGCGGCCGACAAGTCAGCCTCCCAGGAGGACGAAGAATACTGGGCCGCGCGACGCACGAACTGGGCGATTGAGGCCATCAAAGCCAGGGCTTTAGACAAACAAGTCTACACCGCGAACGCAGACCACCTCGTCAGCATCCTCACGTCCGCAGGCCATCTCAGCGCGACGTTCGACACACTCGCTGATCACGCAGTTCCCAACGATGTTGTGATTCCCGCCTACGCGCTCCATACTATCCTCCAAGAGGCCAGAAATCCTCGCCTATATTTCCTTAAGAGGATCGACCCCCGCCACCAGATCTGGCACGTCCACCGCGACTTGTCGCTCTCGAGCTTCCACCTCGGCGAGGCCGGCTACGCGGGCCATCTCGGCGTCGAGATATCCAGCCCTGTTCTCCGGGACCGCCCCGCAGACTTTGAGAAGATCTTCGACGTGTTAAAGGTGCTCCGCGGCGGCGTCCGGCCGATGCTCGACCCCACCTGCGGGTTCCATGTGCACGTCGGCAATATCCGTGGGTTCTCCCTCCGCAGCCTCAAGAAGATTGCCACCCTCGTCTGGGTCTCGGAGCTGGTGCTCTATAGTCTTGTCCACCCCTCGCGGGAATCAAACATCATGACCGTGCCCCTCGGCAAAGGCTCGACCCTAGCCTGCACCGAGGACCTGTCAGAGTACACCGCCGGTTTTGACCTGCAGAACCCGAACACCAAAGACGCCCAGATGGAGGCTATGATATTGTCCAACGAGATCGAAGCGCATGTCCCCATGGACGGCATCCCCAAGCGTATCCAAGACGAGATTCTCCGAATCTGGTCGGTCTCGAGCGAGTACGGCCTCATCCACCTCCTCCAACCCGACCAAGTTTGCAAGACCGGCATCTCCTTCTTCTCCATCCGAAGCAGCATCGAGAAGCAGTCAGGCGAAGAGGAGCGAAAATATGAGGGCACGGTTAAGTTCCGAATGCTTGAGGGGACGCTGGATCCAGAGCTGATTGCGCATTGGACGAAGCTTGTGCTGAGAATTGTGCAGCGGGGAACGGACACTGAGCCATTCGAATACTTTTGCACGATGAAAAAGATACTCAAAGAATACTATAGCGAGAGGGAAATGCTTGAAGGCTTTCTGAGCGCACTGGGGATGGAAGATCATGCCCTCTTCTGGAACAAGGTTGCGCAGAAGAATAAGGCTTTGTCAGAGACAGACGATGGTGCGGACGGGAACCAATGGCAGTGCCCAGCGGACAAGGACCTGGATCTTACGGACGACGAGAAAGAAGAGCTCATGCGCCGTTGGTGTGAACGGAAAACTACCAGAGTTCCCACGGTTGATGACAATAGTTTGGAACGGGCCAGAAGCATTCTTTGAGGGGTTGATGGGCAACACCGGCAGAGATCCCCAGATGCATTTTGTACGACAGAACAGTGCGATAAAAGGACGGAAAGATTGCTAGAACGCACAATGGCTAGAGAGAAAACTGTTAATGAACGATTGACATGAGCTAAACTTTTGAGGATTACCATATGATTCTTAATGGAATCAATGAGAGCTGAATTGAGAAGGTCTCGCGCAGTCAGAACACCAAAAATACAGGGCAATCAAAAGCAAGGCCAGGTTCACAAAAGAATAGCAGAACTAGTTTCAGATGACTTGTACTATGTTGAGATTGCTGCCTTTAGCTGAGACCAACCAAACTGACGAGAACATGTCCCTGTCGGATGATGATGGCGAATCCCGAACCTCTTTTCCAGGAAATCCCGTGTGGACAACGTATAGGAGGGTCGGGAGACAGCATGGAGATGTCAAGCGCGACTCAAATGAGAGACCACTCAATGTTGCCGACCCGACCAAGGCCCTGGCTGCCAGCAATCTTCTCAAAGACGGCAGGGCTGACGTCAATGTCATGGATCGAGCACCCCATGCACTTGTCGGCGACAGTGACTATGGCTTCCCCCCTGGGGCCCCTGATACGAACCTGACGGCCGCAGAGGGGATTGCTATTGGACTGAGAACCCATCTTGAGGTGAGAAAGGGCGACGATCATGGAGCCATCGCTGTCGACTCTACCACAGGCGCCAAGACCAGGGTTGAAGAAGGTGAGGTCGCCCCAGAAAGGGCCGGGGTCGAGGTTCTGGCGAGCTGAGAGCTTAATGTTCCTGGCAACGCCTGGTATCAGAATTACAAATAGAGAGCAAAGGAGAGTGAGTGTGAGATAGGACGTACTCAGAGACGTCCTCGAAGATGCGGCACACAGCGTAGACGCGAAGAGGGTCCTCGGCACCGTTGCTGAGGGTGCCGTGGGCGGTGCCACAGCCGATGTCGGTAGCCGTGAGGGATAAGAGATGCTCTGCAAGATGGAGTCAGTAAGCCACGCCTCTTTCAAGGAAACTAACAGCCTAACCAGTCTTGCTGAGCGCCTCCTGGCGGGTAACAGTTCCAGCCCTGGCCATATTACCAGAGTTCAGCCAAAGCTTGGCAGCCTCAGAGAGCGGGTATCCAAGGGCAGAATCCTCGGCGTCGAGGGCCTGGAAGAAAGCCACAACCTCCCCGGCGCCGTTGCGCAGCGAGGCGGGAGCGCGCTCGAGGTAGCCAGCGGCGGCAATCTTCCTGGCCCAGGCAGTGGCGTCCTTCTGGAGGGTTGTGTTCCAGTCAAGCACGTGGACGCCAGCAACGATGCGGGCGTCGTTGAGGGTCTTCAGGGCCCGATCCTGGTCTGTTGTGAGAGGTTCCGCGTGAGCGCCCAAGGTGGTGAGGCCAGCAACGGCAGCGGTGATGATGGCCTTTGTAAACATCTCGACTGGCGCTGCTATGTGAATGGAGCGAAGTATGGACAGTAACTATGCCGGACAGGACATAGAGGGAATATTGAATGAAATCGGCAGAAGGAATCTGTTTGCTTAGGCTAGATATCACGTAGAAGAGTAATTGTCGTTGTAGGTGGACTGGGTCCCAGATTAGAAAATGTAAGGGAGGAAGAGGGGGTTTATATGGTTGTAGAGAAGATTAATGAGAGATCTATAGTTCCCTGGAGGAAAAGTAAGATTGGGAGATGAATAGAGACGTCCAGAAAAAATCTTGATATTTCGTAACTGCTTCGAGCGAAGTTGGATATCCCAGGTGGGAAGTAAAGAGCCCAAGGGACAAGCAGGAAGTCAGAAGAGCCCAAATGATACGCCCCGTGATAGGCCTAGCGAAAGCACCTTCAGGTTTGTTGGTAACTGAGACTACTATGATAATAGTCTCGATTATCAGAGGACATACTACCTAGGAGCTGGTGTGACGAAGGAGACAGCCACGGTCTTGGAAGAAATAGTGCTCAAGAAAAGGCATGAATATGATAAAGGTGGTTAGGTTACAAAAAGTGCCCCAGAAGAAAATTCAATAGCACAGAAAATGAGGTGAAGAGCCTGATATATCCTTTGTCCTAGTTATTGCAGACAGCATGCATTGCTTGCTAGACTGGCGAGAAAGCAAGGATCTCAGGCATCTGCATGTATATTGTAGTTTGCATGTGGTGCCTAACATTTTGTCAGACGGTAATGTTGTGTTGCTATTCAACTGGCAAGTTGCAAAGGATAAAGGAAACAAGGATCTTTATGAGGCGGTTTTGAGAAGACGGAATGGACACATCGGTGCTGGAGCGAGACCAAGCTTTGCGAGCCGGGGTGTTGTACTGTGGTCAGATGCAAGGAAGCTCCAAGCAACAGTAACAACAAATGCAACCCCGCACAGATTTACAAAAAGTTCCATCTATGTGTAACTATACTAGGAGGTGATATGTGCTTGTAGCAAGTCATTCAAACGGGGAGAGTCTGTGATCTATAGCGGTGCTGCTTCTCAGCTGGGCGTGGCGGCATAGCTCTCTGATGTACATGGTGTGTTTTGACACCACGCAACTACTGAATCTTCTTGGATCTTGTAGATAATGACCCAGGAGACATCTAACGAAAAAAATAATACGATGGAATAGTCACATTGCAACTTATTTTCTCGACTGTTGGTTGAGCGTACCCCTCTAGTGGCTTGCTTGGCTGGGTGGTCCAGGACACACAGTGTAACCACGCCATGCCTACGTAGTTTAAGGTGGATGTTCTTCGTTATAAAGCGTGTTATAATGCAGAGCATGGGATGATATGGATCAAGAGGAACAGGGTACATGAAGGGAATAGGCGCCTCACCCAATCGGTAGGGAGGATCGGCGGAATCTCATGGTGAGAGAGAGGTGTGCAGCAAATGCATCATCGTAGGGTAGGCGAACATCTGCCCTGGAGTCACAAAGAAATGTGAAACAACCAGCCCAAGCCGCGGAGCAGAATGGAGTTTATGGGCAAACTTTGCAATACCCTAAAGCAAAGGCTTTGCTGAAAAAAATGCTAAGTGGCTAAAGAAGGGTAGGACGGCCATCTTGGTGCAAAACGTGACTGGAACACGATTATGTGGCTGGTCAAGTAATTCCTCAGCAGATTAGCCCGTCATATCAGAATATGTCATTAACATGGTCTTCATTATATCTGCTAATGCGCCTCTAAGTTTCTCCCGAATAGTATTCTGGCGGCAAAACAAATCCGCCGTCAATATCAGATTCCAACGTGGGGGTGTATATATCAAAACATCAAAACAAGCGCTGATCAAGACCACGCATGCGAGCAGAAACGCAAGCAAGCAAAGAGCTACCAACCAACGTCTTGAATACGCATACATGTATCCGTACAACCGCTCACACGGCCACGGCGTTCCGCTGCCTTATGCTCTGCGACCGAAGGAACGAGATCTGGCCCCTCCGGACCGTCGTCGTCGCCTCGCCCTGCGGCGACCGCAGCTCGTCTTTATCCTGCGATAAGCTCGACGACAGGTCGAGCGTGCTGTACGGGTCGCTTACCTGGGCCGGCCGCTCATCCCGTCGCACTGACAGGTAGAAGAAGTCCCACCAGAACGAGTGCTCCAGTTCGCGCGGCTTGCCGTCGGCGGTCCAGTACCGTTCCTCAGACAGCTCCCGCGACAGGTGCCGCCGGAAATACCGGTCCTGGTTAACCCACCACGCGCGCCAGGCGGCGAGAATGGCGAGGGTCAAGGGGATCACCGTCGCCCAGTAGACCCAAAACAGGTGGCTCAGCACGGGGATTGGGTCCTTGGGGTTCGTCGCGGTGCCGGGCTCTGGATTCTGCGCGGCGCTGTCGCCCGCAGCGTCCTCGCCCGAGGCCTGCCAGTCGAACATGGACATGCCAAAGAGGGTGCCGAGGAACTCGCCGGGGAGGAAGACGGCGGTGATGACGGCGAGGGCCTTCATGGAGGATGAGTCGCGAGAGGAAGCGACGGCCATGCGGGCGTTGAGAACGTTGTCTTCTTGGGCCATCTTACTGTAGATCTGAGACGTGTCAGGAGGGGGGAATCGGTGAATATCTAGGAGGTGATGGGGGGAGAGGCTGTGTGACTTACGATATCGATTTGAGCGCGGCATCGGGCTTCCGACATGCGACGGTCGGTTTCGAGGCCCATGCACATCCTTTGTAGCCCCTCGAGGTATTGTCTAATCTCGTGCCAGTGATTTCCAAGGGGGTCAGCCAGCGGGTCTGGGGCGGGACCGGGGGGTAAGGATCGTCGGCGTGTGCTAGTGGACGAGCGCGAAGGCGGACCCGTCGGAGGCTCGTCTGGCATGGCCTGCGGTTCTTGCTGGTAACGCTGGTCGTCTTCCGTGTCGCCGACGTGGAAGTTGTCGAGACGAATCTTGAGCTCCCCAGTCGACATGCGCTCCGCCAGCTCATCGCCAGCCTGCAGCATCAGCCTCACGACCCTCTCCATCCAGCGGACGGTGTCGAGCAGCTTGATCGATTCCTTGAGAACATCGTGGGCACTCTTCATCAGGTTCGCCATGCCCATGGGCCCGTTAACCTGAGGCGCCTTGTCGTTTTGGGCGCCAAAGGTCAGGCGGCGCATCAGCTTGGAGCGGCGCTCGCGCTCCATCTCAAAGGCCTCGAAGCCGGCGATGCTGCCGACGGCCAACTCGAGGGCCTTGACATGGTCAATGTTCTCCATGACGGCTTCCTCGGTGCGCATGAACTGGACCTGGAGCAGGACGACGGGGGTGATGAAGGGATGAGCCCAGTGGGCACGGCAGGCCTCAAGGCGCTGGTCGTACTCGTCGAGGTTCTCAAGGCTGTGCTGGCGCGGATGATAGGACTGCCTGATGAGGAGGGAGGAGGTGCGGCTGCGGACGTCGTAGGTCAAGGACAAGAAGTCGTAAGGGGTCCTTGGGTTGTTGGAGAAAGAGAGGATGAGACCTGATGGGGTTAGTGGGTGCATCGCAGTGAGGGCAGCGGTCGAGGAACTCACTCAACTTGGAGCGGTCGAGGGACCAGAAGCGGGACTCGTTGGTGACTCTGCGGGAGTACTGCAGGGTGGCCGGGTGCAGGTCCATGGCGTCCAGATCTTCGGGGGTCATGGTGATGCCATCTTCCCGGCGGTCGAAAGACTTGTTGCGGCGAAAGCAGATACTGCGACTGTCAGCTTCGGAACTGGGACAAGAGATGGTGGGTGGGTGTGCGCTCACACTCGGCGAACGCGTCCATCGAGTACCAACTCTGGATGCCGGGCTGGTCCCTGTGAAAAGACTCCCTGTCGTAGCCGTCAGCATGGCCTCATACAACTTGTGAAGCCAATTGATGAGGCAATGCTCACATTGTGGTCCATGCAGTACCCTCGGCGAAAGGCGAGATCGAGGCTGTGGTAGCCGGGCACCTCGTCCTTGTGATGGAGTTGGAAACTGATATCCTGGTCGCCCTCCAACTCGGTCCTCATGCCCGAAGGGATGCCATTGTCCTTCTTGAAGACGACATACTCATCATACTCGACCTTGGAGGCCGAGGTGCCGTCAGTGAGCAGGATATCATCGCGTAGGGCAAGGGTGTCGAAGCGGAACAGGTCGGACGAATCAAGTCCCTGAAAACGGGCCATCAGGGCGATTTCCGTGGATTGTCGCTGATGCCTCGCGGGTTGCAGCTCAACATGACCGAGTTGAGGTGAGCGGCAGCGTTGCCGTTGTTGTTGTCTTCGTCGTCAGCGAGGATGAGGGTGAGGGTGAAGGTGAGAGTGAGACAGCCGTCATGCCCATCCCAGGCGCTAGCATCCGTCCTTCAGATCCGGGACATGGATGGGTTTTAATTGTCCGTTGTTCTCTTTCTTTTCTTTTTTTCTGCCCGTCTGTCTCGCAGATCTTGGCCGTCAGCGGTGGTTGGTTCGGGTCGCATTTTGCACTGTTCCAGGGGGGAGCCTGGTCCTCCACCGTCCCGAAAGCGTGAATTCGGTGGGCCTTGCGAGGAGTTGCTTGTGGGGGGTTTGTGGTTGTTATTACGCCGAAGCGAGCCTTCAACGGCCGCCAAGTGACATTGTCTAGTGGTTCGCCCCGGATGCCCCGACGGCGTGCTTATTTATGCATCTTGGCGGGCGTCTGGAGGGCCTCGTTTCCGGGGTCACGCGCTGTGCCGTTGAGGAGGAAGGAACACGGAATACACCCCGACACACTCGCATACATTGGGAAAGAAGGCAAAGGAAGGAGGAACCTGGTAAACTGAGCCTCATTATTTGACACCTGCCTGGGCAGCCAGACTATGTACGTACCTAGGTACCTCTGGCAAGAAGTACGTACGTACCGGTACGTCATTGCCCTCTTCCACTTCTAGACATTCTTCATTTTAGTTTCAATTCGAGACTTGCGATTGGGATGCATACATCGAACCTTTTATCACTTGAGGCATTTTGCCACGGTGCTTGTTCAATAATAAGCTTCTGCCCAAGAAATGGAGGCCCACCTACGGATAGGTACATGGTACCTACTGGCCAGACTTTGACGACCCTTGGCCCAACCCCCGATAAACACAGATCCCCCTCACCGCCGAATTTCCTCACTGGCCCCGGCCTCCGTCTTCTCCTCCCCGGTTCGCTCCTCTTCCGACTTCCCCGCCTCCTGTCCGTCTTCTGGCGACGCAGGCTCCGCCTTCTTCAGGACCTCGTCCCTGCGCAGCTTGAAACCGCCGCTCCATCCGATCCACCTCTTCTCCCTTGGGCCCTTGAGCATTGTGAGGGTCAAGGACAGCCCGATGAAGCCGACTAGAGGACGGTATCAGCATTCGCACCAGGCACGATCATGGCAGAGGACGTGACTTGACTTACTCGAGGCGCCTCCACTGTACTTCCACCCGCCCTGCGCATATAACCGATTCCCCACCGCCGTGCCTGTCAATTGCCCGCAGAACACGCAAACCATGTATGCCGTGTTGACACGATTCCTTGCCTTTGCGTTGATGGTGTAAATGGACGTCCTATTGGCAGTCTGCGCAGTCTGTATGCCCATGTCGATACAGATTGCCTGGATTACCGGTCCCGCGACCGTGAATTCGCCCGTGAACGCGCCGACGATGCATCCGGCGAGGATGGCGACCTGGCCCACCACGGACGACAGGAACGGCACGTACCTGTCCATGACAAGCCGTCCGTACACCGGCCCGCCGCAGATGGCTGCGATGCCGATGAGCGAGAACAACCCGATCGTGACAGACGGGTACTCGTACGGCGGCGACGCCAGCAAGAACGTCAACGTTGTCCAGAACGACGTGAAGATGGCGCTGATGAAGAAGCCAATCAGGCACGCTTGCACGAGGACCGGCTCCGTGAACAGCATCGTCACAATCGTCCACAGCGCGCGCAAGTAGTTCAGTCCGTCCGGGTTCTTGGACGGGTAGTCGGGCAGGAAGAAGAAGAGCAGCACGAGGATGACGTACTGCGCTCCGAAGCCGATCCAGTAGATGTTGCGCCACGACGTGTAGTTGGCCACGATGCCCGACAACAGACGCGCGATGAGCATGCCGAGCATCAGCCCCGACGTCGTGATGGAGAGTGAGCTGGCCTTCCGGTGCGCCGGCGCCATGTCCGCGACGAGCGGGAGCATGAGCTGCGGCGTCACAGTCGTCGCGCCGACCATGAAGGAGAGGGCGAGGAAGGCGGCGAAGGAGTTCGTCACGCAGAGCCCGAGCCACTGTGCGGGATTGTCAGCTGAAGACGCTTCTGTGCCGGCTCTCTCGGAACACTCACCAGCATGGCCGTCACCCAGATGAGGCCCAAGATGAACGGCCGCCGCCGCACCATGTCGCCCAGCGGGCAGATGAACAGCAGCCCCGCCGCATACCCGGCCTGCATCAGCGTCGCCACCGACGACGCCCTTTCGAAGCTGACGTCGAACGTCTCGGCGATCCTGTTCAACACCGGTTGGTTATAATAGAGGTTGGCCACGGTAAACGTCGCCGCCTACACGTCGTTTGCTCAGCATCCATCCTTGCACGCGCTCGGTCGTCCGATCGTTGTGGGGAATGAGAGGGGTAGGCAGAAACTTACCACCGCAAACATGAAGTTCAGCGCGAGTGTGAACTCCGGAGGGTTCTCGGCATCGTATCGAAGCCTCCTCGGCGTCCAGGTGAGCGTCCGCACAACCCAGTTGACGATCCCGCCCCGCCCCTTGGCCGGGTTTGATTCGCAGTCCGAGTTGGACGGCGACGGCGTTGTCGATCTCGTCTCCCTGCCCGTCGGCGCCCTCCCCTCCTTCTCCTCGCCGGAGCCACCCAGGATAGAGCTCGCGGCCCGGGCTTGCGGGTTGGAAGCATGTTCTGCGGCCGCTTCCGCGCCGTTAGAGTTTCGCCTATGCGACATCGTGATTTGTTCCATCTTTGGACCTGGGGCCTGCAACAAAGTTCCGCCCTGCTGCGTCAAATCTGGTGTTTCGGACGAGGTATGCCGCAACAGTCGGCTACCTAAGCCTTTCTTTTCCCCCAGTCGTTAGAGTCGCTTGATTCCCGTTCTTAGCGTCTACTCGGGAGTTCGTCGAGGGTGCTTAGCTAGGGACGATGATGAGGTCATCGCAGTGCACTAGCAGCTGGTCGTGTGTGCCGCGTGTATTCGGACGCAGAGTTCTTGACGGCCATGCAAAAATGAAACAAACAAAGGCTATTCTCAACAATGTCCACGTAGTTCGTGCTGTGACGTTTTCTCTTTCTTTTCTTTACAATCCCAACAGTGCGTCAAGTCAAAGAGGGAGTAACAGTGACCATTCCGACACTTTTTTTTTCTCTTCCTTTTCTACGACGAATGGCTCGGCGCGCTTTTCGTCTTACCGATTACCGGGGTGGGCATTTGTCACGACTGACGGAGATAAGCCAGCCGGCCCGCTCTGGGGACTTGCGATGGCGCGAGACCAGGGGGGGTGGTGTTGAGGTCTACGTAGCAGGGGAGGGAACGTTGAAAGCGAGCATGTCCTATCATCGTCTAGTCTAGAGAAACGACCGTCGGCCGGCACCGACTCGGCAGAGGGGGGGCATGTGCCGCGGTTGCTGGTCGGGTATGCTCCGATATTCGGACTCCGTGGCCGAGCAGTCGGTCGGGATGTGTGGTTTTGGTAATGGCGGGAGTACAACCCGAGGTAGGCTTTCGAGGCAATATGCAAAGACCGCAGCAACTTTGGCCAGTCCGGCTTTGTTATCCATACATGCGTACTGCTATCCAGACTGGCAGGTTGGGTGTTTGGAGGGTCGCCGTTCGGTCGGCCTGAGAAGCCAGCCATGTTTATTATTTTAGATTGACCCACATCGACACAGCAACCACAATGGCAAGCACAATAGCTCAGGGGTAGAGCGCTGGGCTCATAACCCAGAGGTCCCTGGATCGAAACCAGGTTGTGCTATCTGCTTTTTGATTTTTTTTTGTCTTCATCTTAGTGAGCTTGACAAGCGATTGATTGAGCATTGATTCGTCCGTCATTTCTTGTTACGGTGCAGATGCTGTCTAAACCTAAACTTGTCACACATTGCAATTTGGCCACAGTTTATCACTCAAATTTGTCTTTTATGCGATTGTCATTCTATTGTCTGCCCAAAGCCATGGTCGGTGGTGTAGGCCCGATTGCACGCGATATTCCATTTCGCGACGCTGGAAACGTTTCCTTTTCTCCACGACTCTCTTTCAGAGTTGCAAGTGTTTCAGTCTCCAAAGCCAACGATGCTGCTTCCTCAATGCCCCCTCCCCCTAGTCGCAGATTACCGATGCCTTGACCAGCCGGTTGCTCTTGTCGTAGTTGCCCCCGTCGGCATTTCCGCACTTGACCAGACTCGGTGAAATCCCGAGCAGGACGGTGCTCTTTGAGCTCAGCTCCGTCTCATATACCTCGGCTTCATGATACTCCGGGTTATAATGAACAGTGTCTTCAGCAATAACCGGATCGATATAGAAGTAGGCGCGGGATTGCATCAAGATTCGGTGTATCTCGGTCGCTTCCTTGAAAATGTTGCGGAGCTCCTGATGAAGGCTCTTTCGCGCGACTGTAATGTTGGGACAGTCGTGGGGAATGAATGCGCAGAGGCCCCGGTATTCTTTGTCGACGATACTATTGAGCTCTTTGTTGTTGAAGCCGATGACCTTGTCCATCATGACGGCGCTCTCAGCCTTCCATCGAAATAGCATGGTGGGGTTGTTGCTCATCTCAGGCACTTCTGAAGGTGTATTATCAGTCATCAAATCCTATGATTTGAAAAGATACTCGACCAGACTTACCAAGCAACTGGTTGAAGAGAGCAGATAGTAACTGGCCTGGAGTCCCGGCCCAATTTCTGCCAAAGCGAACTCCATTGGGTGAGAATATGCGGCTAACAACAGCGTCCCAAACGAGCTTCTCGACGACGCTTTCTCTTATGTCGTCATTTTGGAGAAGCAAGATTTGGCGTGCATCAAGTTGGCAAAAAGCACAAGACTCCTCTTTGTCCTCGTGACCATGATGGTCCAGATCATGCCGAGAAGAGTGGCCGGTAAGGATGGTGGCAACGAGGCTTCTGATGTTGTATGTCATTGTTCTCCAGCTGGCTTTGATGACGTCGTCTGAAACTTTTCGCGAATTGGCAATGGCCTTGTCTTGTGACTTGACTGCCTTGAGGGATGCAACCTGCGCTTTGAGATGACGAATCTTACCATCAAGCTTGTTGATGTGTGCCACATGCTTGGAAACATCGCGCTGATACGACTGTTGCATCTCGGTTCGCTGGCGCTCAGCATCCTCGACCATCTTTGCGACACAGGCAATCTCAGTTCTGACACAGGCAATGTCAGTTTCGATATGGACAAAGCCATTTTCGACATGGGCAATGTCAGTTTCGAGTTTGGAAATATCGGTCTCGTAATCCTCGAACTGCATGTGTAGTTGGATGACCTGATCTTGAAGACTTCGGACCTCGGCGGCGTGTGGCATGAAATAGGTCGCATCTTGAGCCCGGTTTTTCTGATCGTCAGATGAGCCATCAATCACACTTGGCTCTCCGACTTGTGTCTCTGGCATAAGATTGAATGCCGTATCATCCATTATGGTATCCAAGTGCAGAATGTCTTGTCCGCGAAGGTCTGATCGCAGATCGCAATGATGCTGGTAGTGTTGTCTGAACTGCGGCTCGAGGCTGTTCTTGTTGAGAGACGAATCGGTTCTGGTCTCTTGTCTTTCGCCGCTTGTTTGCTGCATTTGCAAAGGCTGAGCTGGACCGAAAGTCATGTCGACGTCGTCGTCATTGTTCTAGGAGAATTGAGTTGTGACTCCAAGTATTTGCTTCTGAATCTTTTCTACTTACGCACTGAGCATCGTTGCTCATGTTGGCCTCTAATATGGGTGGCATTGCGAGACGATGTGATAGAGCAAGGACAGATATGAGTTTGAAGTCTGTTGAGGATGGTGTGGAGAGCCTGAAACTGGTAAGACTTTTGTTACTGAGGAAATATACTCACTTACCTGTCTTCCAAGCCAGAAGGATGCGATGACGGAAGTTACAGCCTAGGTCAGTGAAGTCTGGTAGGCGGTTAGGAAAGCCAAGTGCCTACCTAGTTAGGTAGTAAGAAAGGGACAAAACGGAGCAATACCCGGAGCTTTTGTTTACCCGCCTACCTAGATAGGTAGATGAAACACAAAAGAGGAAGGATACGCCAAATATTCTGGGTTGCTCCCCACCGCCGCGCTTTCCTAAAGCGTTTGGATTTTCCTTCTCCTTCCTGGACCTTCTGCTTCCTGAGAGGACGTCTCTTCTTCTGCCCCACCCACCATCTACCTCACATTTTCATTCTCTCGGCCAAGGTGAGATTCTCAACTCGTCAACAATTACTAGAGGTCGCCGCAACGTACGTCTCTCTCTCCTCAATCCCGACTTGATCTTTACATCCGAGTCTTAAGAATATCAGCTCTATTTGCGAAGCTAATTTGTCTTATAGCAGCAAACAACCAGCTCTATCCAATTCGGTCTTTATCTTCATCATGGCCGACACGGATAATACTATAGTCATCGGCATCGACTTCGGAACCACGTAAGTAACACTCAAATTCTGTATCACCCGGCCACAAGTTAAGAATATATTTAGTTTCTCGGGTGTCAGCTGGGCATTTTCTGGCCAGCCAAACGAAATCGAAGTCATCACGAGCTGGGAAGCAGAGATGAACTATGCCTCTGATAGGGAGAAAGCACCGACTGCAATCTTGTACCGTGGCACCCAAAACGCTGTTTCTTGGGGTTACGAGATCCCGGTTGATGAAATCCAAGACGCGATGAGGTGGTTCAAGCTGTTGCTTATTGATGAAGCGGACCTTCCTGACAACCTCAAACATTCGCCCCAAATAACTACAGCAAGGAAGGCAGTAAAAGCCACCAACAAAGATGCTGCCGATGTAATCGGAAGCTACATCCGCCGCTTATGGAACCACTCGATTGAAAGCATCGGTAAGTCGGTTGGAGATGAGCTCGTCAAGATGTGTAAATTCCACGTCGTCATAACTTTGCCGGCCATCTGGCCGGATTACGCTAAAGCTCGTATGTGTCGTGCTGCCGAACATGCTGGCCTTCTTGAAGAGCGTCCCGCCGGACAGACAACGCTCGCGTTCATTTCAGAGCCAGAGGCTGCAGCTCTAGCTACTATGAGAGACCTTGCAGGACGCCCCAACATCAAGGCAAAATCCCTTTCCATTCCGTTTGCAAAACATATTCTGATACTGATGCAGGTTGGAGACCACTTCGTTGTTTGTGATGCCGGTGGCGGTACCGTCGACCTCATCAGCTACGAAGTGCTGGGTCTGAAGCCTATGGTCGTTCGCGAGGCCATTAAAGGAGACGGGGAGTTATGCGGTGGAGTTTTCCTTGATGAGGCATTCGTCAATCTAATCAAGGACAAAGTCACTACGAAGGCCTGGGACAATGTTCCCAAAGCTGAGGCTGCGAATGTTCTCAATGGAGATTGGGAACACGGCATAAAGCAGCAATTTGACGGCAAACATGATCGACAGTGGCACATCCAGTTGCCCCCCGAATGCAAAGTCAAGAAAACCCCGGAGCGAGGCATTAAGCGAAAACGCAATCTGATGCTCAATCTTCAGGACCTGCTCTCTGTCTTCGATCCCATCGCCAACAAGATCAGTTCCCTCGTTCAGAAACAAATCGATGGTGTCCGTAACAAATCGGGCAAACCTCCCAAGGTAATTTCGAAATATTTGTTTGATAAATTTGAGCCAGTTTGCTAAAAGGACGCTAGAATGTCATTCTCGTCGGCGGTTTTGGTAGATGTCGCTATCTTCATAGCCATCTTCGGTCAGCCATTGACAAAGACATCGCGCTTCTCCAAGCGACAGGCGCAAAGCCGTAAGACCAATTTTCCATGTTCAATCGTCTTTACTGATGTAAAACAGCTGGACTGCCATTTGTCGTGGTGCAGTAGTCCAAGGGCTCACTCAACAAAACCTGTCTCCTGGTTTGTCCATCAGTGTCAAATCCAGAATCGCGCGGGCGAGTTATGGAATTGAAGTCCGTACCAAATTCGACAGGAAGAAGCACAGTAATCGTTTCAAGAATTGGTCTGAAGGGGAACAAGAATGGATGGCTCATGGCCAGATGAAATGGTTTCTCGAGCAAGTGAGTCTCTCGTCTCTGTCAAACTTCCGTGTGATCTCCAGGCACACTATTTACAATGTCCTTTTTAAACTAGGGCACCGATGTCTCGAGCACGGCTCCCGTGAGTGAAAACTTTTATGAGTTGTACTCTTCAGCCCCTCCCGAGGTTTCTGTGTCGCTTCATGTCAGTTCAGCCTGGCCTCCGCCATCCGAGAAGGACAGCTCGGTCAGGGATCTTTGCAAGATTACTTGGGGCAAGAAGATAGACTTTGAAGCTCTTCCACGTCATGTCAACTCTCTTGGTAAGGTTTTCCATCGGCTCGACTTCACCGTCGAAATGGTTTGCACTGGTGCGAGCCTCGACTTCTCGGTTACCCATGAAGGCAAGCGCGTCGGCGCCAAGAATGTATCCGTGGCTTTTGATACCGAGGCAGACGACGTGAAGACGAAGAGATCTCCTTCATACTGAGGGGGAAAGCAATGATGGAACTTTTTTCACATGGATCATGGAGGAAGGATAGTTCAAGGTTTTGGTGGGCAGCGGGTTGGTTGCCATTCGCTCTACCGTCATAGAATGAATTTGCAGCTAGTACGGAAACTGAGCATATTCGATTGAATGCATGTTCCACTACTGAGATGTACAGATGGCTTTGCCCAACGTGAAGTAGTGAACATACGAGTTTCGATCGAGTGTCATACAAAATAGCCAGGCACCAGAATTCAATCACGTCAAGAAAAGATATCAAGACCTCTAGGAATGGGCTGTGTCAGGTGTAGCGATGAGAGGTGCCAGTTTGGAAATGTAGCATGCCCGCGTGAACACTACTTATCAATCCTTTGCACTAATATCAAAAGAAAATAGCCGAGGCCCCCAAGCCAATGCAATAGCCAGCCAGCTTTCCGTACCCATAACGCAACGCGCCTTATCAACCCGCAGTGCAGACACACGTCTGACAGTCACGTCAGTTATGCGCTGTCCTCACTCAAGCTTATCTCAACCTCAAAGAGCCCGAAGCTGCCATTGGGCCACGGCATCAGGTCGTCTAGATAGAAAACCGAAAACCCAGCATGGCAGGTGGGACGGATTAGCAGGGGTGCGTCTGATACGCCAGATGGTCTGACGTGCGTCAAGCTTTGTTGTTATGTGGCGTTTCTGACATAGGATACAGTCTGTTGCTGTCAAATGTGGCGGAATTACACGTGAATTAGCTAGCGAATGCACGGTTGCCCTACGGCAAATTGTTAGGGAATAGGCGGTAAATAAGCCCTACCTTTAGGGGTAACTTTACTAATAATATTACTAGGATTAGCTAGGGATTTCCTAACTAAGAAATAGGGGTTTTTCCCTATTTCTATAAAGATTTATAATAGTTATATAATATATAATAAAATTAATTAAGTAACTATTATAATACTTACTATTTAATAATTAATAGTCTAATATATATATTTATAATAACTAATAAACTTACTTACTAGTTAAATATTATTATAATAATTAATAAGAACTATAATAATAAAGTAACTATCTTATAATTATATAGTAATTAGTTTATATAGCTTAATACTATTTAAGTAAAAGTAAAGTGTTATAATCTTTAGAAGTATATTAACTTAATATACTTATATAGTATATTATATATTATAGTAAGCTATATACTTTTTCTTTTTTTTTTACTTTTCTTATAAGTTAATTAAGCTATAATATATAAAATTAATTAAAACTACTTATTATTATTTTCTTTATTACTATCTTAAACTACTATTATAAGATAAGGTAGTAAGTGCTTATAGTTAGGAGATAAATAGATAGTAAGGACTAAATACTTAATATATATATAATACGTTATATATACCTTAGGTATATATCTCTTTAGTAGGTAACCTTTTATAAAAAGAGGGTTAACTATAAATATACCTACTATCTATTACCTATTTTATCTTATATTATTTATTTAGCTCCTTATTATTATTTATTTTACTTTACTACTTTACTATTACGCTTTACCTTTATATAGCGTTACTTTATAACACTACTATAGCCTAGCTTTATCTTATTAGAACTATAATAGCTACTAAGAAGGCTATATTAAGTAGTAGTATAACTATCTTAATTTATACTATTTTATTACTTTTACTATTTTTATTATTTTTATTAAGTTTTTTTTTTTACTACTATATAGTAGAAAAATATATATACCTTAATAAAAGTAAAAGGCTTAAAGATATAGCATACTAAGAACGCTTTAACCTAGATAAATCTCTAACCTTAGGTAATTCTATATATAGCTTTAAGAAAACCTAACCTATAAGATTACTTAGTAGCTACCCTAAAGCCTTTATAATAATATATAATCCCTTATAACTATAGAGTTTAATAAAAATATACTATACTACTTTAGTAATAACTAGTAATAAGGCTTTTAGTTAGATATTAGCTAGATATTAGCTAGGCTAATAACCCCTTTTAGATTAAAAGCACCCTCTATATAGTAAAAAGGATTATTAGAGATATAAGAATTAACTTACTACTCTTATTAAGACTATATAGTAAGGTAGAGGATATCTAACTATTTTATAGTAACTTATAAAGCTTTTAGTTATTTAAAAACCTAGTTATACTAAAAAAAAACCTAACTAAGTAAATACTACTTACTCCTTAAAAAAAGCCTCCTTAATAACTACCCCTAAATAAAGATATTATAATAAGTAATATACTTAAATAAGAGGGGAGTATCCCTCTAGACTTATTATCTTTAAAGTAAGTAAAAGCTACTATAATAATATAGTTTAAGTTAAAAAGTAAAAAATAAGAAATTATAAGCTTACTAGGCTATAATACTATCTTACTAATAGGCCTATTTAGACTATAGTTTTTTATTATACTAAGCTAATTCCTAAATAGTATAAGTTACTACACTTAAGGCTAATAAAAATAAAATATATACTTACCCTTAGGGTAAATATAATACTTACTACCTCTAGCCTAAGGTTAGGTAAGAAATATAATTCCCTTAAGTTAGTACTTTAGTAAAAAGGCTAGTGCTATAACTATAGCTACTTAATTAGTAAAGTTAAAGTTAATAATAAGATAATTATAAGAACACTAAGACTTAATAAGTATAGCTTAGTTATAAAATAACCTTAGCTAGTAAAAGTAGTAAAAAAGCCTATAGTTAACTATAGCTATATTACTTTTACTAGTATTAAATATAAAAAAGCTTATAGTAGCTTTTTTTTATACTATAACTACTTAAATATAAGTAGTAATAACACTAGTAACTACTATAGCTACTTTAGGTTATTCTTTAGCCTAGCTATAAATACTATTTACTATAAGAATCTTCTAGCTTAATACTAATACTAAAAAGTACTTACTAAACCTTATTTTTTATAACTACCTTATAATATATTACTATAATATAAAGCTTTAGGTTTAAGTAGTTAAAGTAACTTATAGAGATCTTTTATCCTTATAGTAATTTTATTAAATAATTAACTAGTACCTTTATAAATAAGTATAAAACTAGTAGGAATTCTAACTTACTAAAGTAAAGTAAAATATCTTTAAGTAAGAAGGTTAGCTAGTAATCTTAAGGTAATTTAGGTACTATTTTAGACTTACCTTTATTAAGGTAGAAAAGTAGTTCTATAAGAACTACTTTACTACTAATAAGATCAATAAGTAGTATAATATTTATACTTTTACTTAATCTTTCTTTAAATATACTAAGGCGTAAGGTAACTAAACCTAATACTAATAGCTAATTAGGTTTTATAATAACCTTATACTATAACTATAGTAATTCCTTTATAAGCCTAAGGACTATAACTCCTTAAATAAGTATATTACTTTAGCTAAGGAAAAACGCTAAGCCCTTTAGAATACTACCTTACTATTATAAAGTACCCCTATATATACTAATAATATAAGTACTTAAAGTAGTATAAATAATAATATAGCGCTATAAGGAAGTATATTAGAATAACTAAAGAACTATAACCCTTAAAATAAGGACCCCCTAAAGACTAATAAAGAAGATATAGCTTTATAAGGATCTAATAATAATAATAACTAGTAGTAATAAGATAACTACTAGTATAAAGAAAGCTCTTAAGAAAACTATAAAAAATACTAACCTTATAGTAACTAATAGTAAAAGTATTACTAGGCTAACCTTAAGCGTAAGGTATAAGACTAGTAACCTTAGTAAAGACCTTAATAAGGAAGTAAATATTAATAGTAAGTATAATATATATAAAAGACTAAAAGTAGAAATAAAGTATAATTTATTTAAAAGTATAATAAAGATATAGATATTAAAATTAATAAGCTTATTAATAAAAAGTATATTCTTAAAACTACTAAGGAATTCCTACTAATAATAATAAATATTATAAACTTTATTACACTACTCCTAGTTAAGGTTACTATAGCCTTAGTAGACTATAAGGAGATTACTAAAACCTTTAAAGATATTACCTTATATTAAGATAAGATTAAGGAGTACCTTACTAAAGTAGCTAAAAGTAATAATAGTATAAAGCTATTACTAACGCTAGGTAAGGCTATAACTCCTATAACGCTAAAACCTTCTAAAGAAGTATAATATAATAAAGATATAGCGCACTTTATTTTTTAGTTAGAGGAGGTAATTAAAGCTATTATAAAACCTAATAAAAAAAGAAACTAGTGTAAGTATATATACCTATAAGTAAAAATCTAAGTAAATAAGAACTTGAAAAAACGCTATATACCTGTATAGGTATATTTATTATCTTAGTAGACTATAAGTAGGTAATAAAACTTACTAAAAACCTATAATTCTTTATAGTAGAACTATAGAAAGTAAGGGTAGTAGGATTATTATTTACACTTATAAAGAATATTACCTTTAATATATACTTTAATAAAGTAGTAAAAGACACTAAGATAAAGGTCTATACTATAATTACTATTAAGGTAGTTAAGAAGCTTCTAGCTTAACTATTACTAAGAACCTTATTTTATAATAACTATAAAGTAGTTATAGATTTTAATAAGAAGTAGGTAAAACTTTAATTTACTTATAATATAATAATACTAGTAATAGTAAAAAGCTACTTCTTTATAATATAAAGAGATAGGTGTAGTTTATTATATAATCTAGCTAAAGTTAATATACTCCCTTAAGGGGATCTTATCTCTATATATAATTAACTAACTTCTA